ACCAGTTGCTACTCTACCAAAGGGAAAAGGATGTGTGTGTGGTATGCTGTGTGTAAGCCACAAGGGCTGCTTTCTAGATGGTGGGGAGCAGAGAGATTTTAATCTTATTAACAGCCTTTCCCTGTTCGGCAAATAGCTTTCCAACTGCTTGGGTAATGAACTGTTTGAAAGTGTTTTCGGCACATGCTAACATACATCACTCAGACACATTGATAGATGGAGTAACATGCACAGAGAAACATACGTTTTGCTTTCTAGACTAGCTTCCCCCTCCTCTATTGCCAGCAGTCCTCACGGCTTGGACACCTACAGTATACAACAGACTGCTGATTGTTTAGCGATGTCATTAGGTCGTGCAAAAGAGCTGCAACAAACACGGAGCCTTTAGTCGCCCTGTTTCAGTTGGAAATAAGCATAAGTAGATCCTTTTCCAGCGCAAGAAGATAATTTTATGATTAGACTAAAAAGTAGCTATTCACCAGAAGCTTTTATTCTTTATACCCCATATTGTGTAGCAGAATTGTAGCAAGGCATCCATGTGTTGAACAGCAAAGCAGACCCAGATCATCACACTATCACCACTGTGTTTAACTGGAAGATGTTTTCTATTAAATTTACTTCCAGTCAATCATGTGTGGGTAAAACATTTTTTTTTGACTGTAATACAATTTACAAAGTTTTGATTTCATCTGCTTTCTATACTTCTCTGTGATGCTAGCCATAGACATCGCACTACAGCAACCGATGCAGTGCATTTTATCAACAAGTCATAAATACTTTTATTATTAAGGAAGACTTCTTCATTAGATAAACAAAATATCGTCCATTGGTCAAAACATGGTTTTGCAAGGTGTGCAAATAAAAATTTTAAGTTCTTAATATTTGGCCAGCATAATTGTGGTGCCAAATATTGCTGACAACCAATACAAGGACTAAAAAAAAGCAGAAGGCACTGGGAATTATGGTTTAGGTGATTTTTTTTAGCAAATTGAAAAGGAGAATTTGTTCTATTTCTGCAATGGTACGTTTTGCCTACAAACTCATGTAAATCATTTATAATGAACATCAACATAAAACGAAACAATTTAGGTTTACGGTGCTTTTAATGTCATCCTGGTTTCTTTTGTGATCACCTGGAAAACTAATTAAAGCATTCCTGGACTGATAATGAGAAGTCAGTGACTCCTGGGAAAGTTTACTACTTTGAGATCCTACAAACTGTGGTACTATGAAAAATCATTCTGCCAGGGAAGTTCTGTTGAATACAAACACAGAACATATGTACAACAAATTGTGCAAGTTGGCAATTTTTACAGATATATAGTTAAAGTTTCCACTTCAGAATCTCTGAATATATATATATATATATATATATATATATATATATATATATATATATATATATATATATATATATAAAATATATAAATCTTTTGGATGCTGCTGGAGTGCTTGAGTATATCTTTGAGTTATACAGACAAAATCTTAAGTTTATGATTCATTTTATTGTTTGACGAGACCCCTTATCGTTGCTGTCTTGTCTCATCCTAAGTTAGTGAGTCTGCTATACTCAATCATTTTAACAGCTTTTTTCATCAAATGAATTCAAGGATGGAAAACTAAAAAGGCCTTGAAGGAGAATAAGGAGCAGGATGGAGGGTGAGGCAGAATGCAAATGCTTTCAGGATCAAGGGCATCACTTGTCAAGGGAAGGCCAAAAACAGATATTATGCACCTCTGTTCCTCGTTTATCTCAGAAGGGATATACCATTTATTTTATCACTTTGCTTGATTCATAACTTAGAATTTGTTTTTTGTTTTGTTTTGTTTTGCAGTGATGAATATAGGAAGTGTTAGCACAGAAAAGATAGAGGTATAAGAAAAGCTCATTCTTTTCTTAGTCTAATTGAATTTCATATGAATAAGTTGTCATACTGTATGCAACACCAGAGAGCCAATCTTTTCCCCTTCCAAAATGCATCGCATAAACAATTTGGAAAATGTTCATTTTTATATTTTCCTTTCATTAAAAACATCTTAAAAAGATAAAAGCCGTTTTTTAAATAATTTTTATTATGAAAATTTCCTCTGATAATTTTTTCAGCTCCTCTCTGCCTTAGAAAAGCAGCAGGAGTCGCTGTTGTTAGGTGACCAACACCTGTCCTTGGCCAAGGTTGGTAGTTTATTCTAATAAAGGAAGTTTCTTCTAAAGGATAAAAGCTCTGCAGAAAATTTAGCTGCAGCTCTCACTGCCATTATTTACACAAACAACACTTTAACTCCCCTTATTGCTTATTGATTTTCCTATTGCTAAGACAAAGAGAATAATTAACTTGTTTCCACTGGATATGGATTAAAACAAATTGTCATGCAATAATATTTACTGCTGGAAACACAAACTTTGTGTTTTATCATAATTCTGTGTGACAGACCTAAACCCACCAAATAAGTAAATAGTCCATTTGTACAGTTTCATTCATGTAAAAATCTAGATCTTATGTTTGCACAGTATATTTTAGAGAACATTAATAAATAATCCCACCACATAAGGATAAATATATATAGTTAAACCACATTCTAAGCTCTGAATTTGTCCTGGAGCTTCCATCAAAACACTACAACCAATCTGAAAACCAAGACAAGGTAGTCCACCTAATTTAACAGTTCTGACAAGAAGAGCATAAATCAGAGAAAAAGACCCTCATTAACTCTGGAGGAGCTGCAGAGATCCACAGCTCAGGTGACAGATTTTGACAAGATGACTAACAGTCATGTACTGTATGGAAGATGCCTTGAGAGGTGCTGTCTAAAGTGTGTCACAAGCCTTATAGGGGACCAAGCCAATTTTTATTTGGTCTTCATAGCATTTTTTCCACCATGCCCTTTAGGTCAAATCTCTGCATGTGAAAATAATAAGCGACACACACAGCTCACGTTCGCTTTCATTTGATAGCGATACTTTACATTGGATAACGTCAGGTTTTACGCCACTTATTACGGCAAACCGCATAACAGACCAACATGCCTGCTGCTCGTCCTACTCTGTACGATTCAGACTCCTCTGCTGGTATTTCAGATGCCAGGTTTTCAGAGCGCTTGGCAGAGTTTTATGAACTAACAAAGGAAGACTTGGAGGGGGAAAAAACATGTTTTTTAATACAAATATTGCTCGTCGGGACTTAACAAACAAGTCAGTATATCAGCCATGTCAACTTAAGTTTGAAAGCGACACATCGAATTTAAGCATCCGAGCTATTTCGGGAAATATCTGCTACTGGATGAGGAACGTCAGAAATAAATTTTGATACAGATCATTTCATCTGGATTTCATCTGGATTTACCTGTCAGTTTCTGAAGTTCTGTGGAATCTGGCTAAATAACGGCTTCACTGCACAAACTATACTTTGACTGCATCAAGTATGCATCAAGTTTACATTTCTTTTCATATACAATGATCACACATTAAAAGAGTGAAATATTAAGTTATAGTGTGGCTTAATTTATCAAATGAACTTGAACTAGTTCATTTCCAGGTTTGTGAACTTGGTTCATATTTGAAAAGGTAAACTATGAATGCATCATTTTTAGTTGTGTCAGCTGAACTTTGGGCTAGTTCATTTTAACTATGAACTGATCCAACATTGACCACCTCACATTACCACCCCCTTCCTGGAACACAGTGGTGACAGTTTCGTGCTGTGGGAGCCTTTTTTCAGTGGAAACAGAGGAACTAATCTAAACATTCAACCAGAGCTACAGATCTATGGGTTGAAACAAAAGCAGAAAAAGGCAGAGGTAAATTCCATTGGGAATCAAGTCAAAACTTAACAGTTGATGATAGCTTTAGATTCTGTACTGTTATTTATCAAAGCTGGTTTGCAAAAATTGAGTCTCTGTAGATGTAAATCTGATATATATTCCAAAAGACATGCAGCTATCATTGCAGCACAAGCTGATGCTATAAGACATTTGCTGAGTGGGGTTGGAAAGAAATGCCACATATCTCCCATCAACATTTCTCAAAGGAATTTAAAACCAATGCGTCACTCTCCAGTTTTAACAAGTTTGAAGGTTTATATGCTGTAAAAGGTGAGCTAACTATAAATGTTTGCTGTGCTCTAAATTCCTTCTGTTGTCCTCCTTTTCAAGTTTGCTTCTGCAGCTACACTACAGAAGCCTAACATTTAGGCCTTAAGGCCACAAAATGCTAAAATCTATTTTTGTGTTTTCCTGCCTGAGCTTCCTCCTTTACTCACTCCAGAGTAGTCCTACACAGGAACACGCATTTACTTTCCAAGGTCTTTGACCCGTTTTGCCCCGAAGCGAAAAAGCTCTGAGATCTCCCACTGCATTACTTTACCTTGACTTGTCTGTCTTTTCTAAGGAGTGCGTATTTCTCCCTACGGTGGGTTTTGTGTATTGATCAGTAAATATCTAATCCATCAATAACAATTTTAGGGAATAAAATGTAAAAAAAAAAAAAAAAATCCACCTTGAAGAATCCTGTAATAAGCTACTATGTGTCAGTGTAGAAAACAAATCCTGTTTTTAAAACAGTTAATTGAATTTCTGCAGAGGTGTGCTGCTGTTTTATCATTATGTGCTAAATGTGTTCTTTTGAATGGTTCATTGAGGCATTTGGTGCCGATTGAATGTGCTGCTTATTCCCGATTCTGCCTATCTGCAGTATTTTAGAAGAGCAGTCCTGGTTATTATATTTTCCCCTTTACCTTCAGCTCCCAGCAGCAGCATTCTTTGGTCCTTGATGTCTGCTTTTAAAAAAACGAAGCTTGACAGCAACAGCGGTTAGTCTGGCTTTTGTGTTTGTTGCCTCTTTCTCTTTGATACAGGACAGACAGACGTATATTAAGCGCCTCCGCTTTTTGACGTTTTTGTTCATCTCCTCCTCCCTGCATTCTCCTTTAACATCACTCGCCGTGTCCCTTCCCTTATTTTTTATTCATCCCTAACCTGTCACTGTTTTCTCTCCCTCCTTGCAGGCAGTACTATGAGATGCTGTACAACACTCCAGATGAGTTGCTGAACCTGGTGGTGGACCAGGGCGTTCGCTACACAGAGCTGGAGTACATCAACGCCCTCTCTCTTCTCCATCGCAGTCAGACGGGTGTAGGGGACATGAGCACCCAAAACACCCGTCTCCAGAGGCTGAAGGAGATCATCTGCGAGCAGGCCGCCATCAAACAGGCCACTAAGGACAAAAAGATCACTACGGTGTAGCAATAAAACAGAGGATTACCCGGCCTGACATTTTCTGTTCCAATGTTTTGTTACTGATGCATTAAATCTCTCATAGATTGTGTCAGACTTGAGATTGTAAGAGTTTGTTTTAAAGTGCATCCTTTGTCTTTTTTGCCTGATGTGATGAAAGGGGTTGTAGTTGAGAGCTGACACAGATATACATCTTTCCTCCTGAAATGGAGATCATATTTAAGCTTATGCCGCACTGACTCACTATAATTGGGAAGTTTGGTGACAGCCAACACAACTGCAAACTTTGCAAGTCTAGTCTCTCTATCAAGTATCATCCATTGTCAGTTTCCTCTTTTTTAAAAGACATAATAAATCCTTGCCGCATTCCGAACCTCCTAACAACACTCAGCTCTCCACAACAACAGCTCCAGTTAAAACGACACCATCTTGGACATTCACCTGAACTCCGGCCCTATCTCGTCTCATTTTCCTATTAGAGCCCAAACCGGTGCTCTCAATTACACCTCCATCTCTCCTCTCCCGCCAGCCCCTCTGGGCTCACTGATGCTGTCTGCAATAACAGATGCCAGATTAGACTGTCTGAATGAGGCCACATCCTCCGCCTGCTGCCAATTTAGTTTGGTCCCGAAAGAGTTCCCCAGCCGAGAATTGTATCATATCTGCAGTTGTCAAAAACTGTGTACTGGTCTGCCTTTTTTTAAGTTTCAGAAGTTAACTTGTGCAGCTGGAGCAGAGTAGATTGCAACTTTTTTTTTTTATAAATAATATTGTTTGGATATAGTATACCAGAGATAGAATGTCTTGCAAAATGATTAGCGTCCTTTAAACTTTTCCACCTTTTGTCACGTTACAATCTCAATTTTAATGCATTTTGTCAGCGATTCTAAATATTTTAACATTGTTTCTTGCAAAATAACTTCAATAGAGCGATTTCTGACCAAATACAGCCCTGCTGCGTGATTCTGCCACCTCTATGCTTCATGGTTGTCTTGGTGATTTGTCATGGATTTGTTTTTCTTTCTTTTTAACCTTAGATTAACTGTTGCATGCAGCAAAGAAAGCTATATTTTGGTCTATGGGCAGAACACCTCCTCTTTTATATATATTTTTTATTATCTTTTTTTTTTCTTGGCACATATTTAATAAACAATATTAAGCATGTCAACAGATTCTACCTCCTGATCTCAGGATTGCTGCATCTTCTCCAAAGTTACATAATAACCTGATAAAATAAAACAAAATTTGCGGTTGTAACATGAGATTATGGGATGAAAAGTTTAATGGGTGTAATTATTTTTCACTTTATATGCAGATGTTTTTAAATGCATCCTCTGCAGTCCTATTATAAAGGGATATGGCTTTCTCTTTAAATCACTAAAAATAAACCAAACACTATAGACAAGAGAGAAGATCCCAAGTTGTTTCCCCACCCTGTTTTCTGTTCATTAACTTGGCAAAGAAGTATTTAACGAGTGTAGGAGAGAGAAATGGGAGCCTTGTCAATACGGCGGTCCCACCACAGGTCTACTTGAAGCCCACAGAGCAATCCATCATAGTGACACACAGTCTGGAATCGATGGGGAAACAACGATGGAGCTGCTGAGTGGTTCGCCTACTCCTCTGTAATGCACACTTGGTGCAAAATTCAAGATGTGCTCATTCATTTGTTCACTCCAGAGCTGGTGCTGAAAGGTTATACAAAAGGGAATTTTAATACAATGTTCCCCAACTGTGTCATGCTTCTTATGTAGGCTATTAGACCTCCATCACACTGGATGGCTGATCTTTTCGTCATGCTTATTCCTTTTTGTTTTTTTTTGTTTTTTTACACTATGTTGTGCATCGCATATTTTCCTTACAATGCACTCTAGTTTTGCACATTTATTGAATCTTATTAAATGATTTTTACACATATTCTGTTCTTTTTTCCTTAAAAATAATCTCAGATTAGTCTGCTTGAAACAAACCCTTTGTGATTTGTCAGTGCGTATGGTAATAAATATCTGAATTCTTCTGTATTTTGTGTATTTTTTGTGCATTATATTTTCCACTGATGCTTTTCAAGAACTGCCTGTCACACACAGAAATTGATAAGTATATGTAGTAGTTGAGTTGTTTTTCATCCTACAGTATATCTGGAACCTGTCTGTTATGCGTCTCTAAAGCTTGAGGAGCTTAGGAGTGACATATTGGGAAAATTAAACACACGGCATAGCATACCACCTGAAGGCCTCAGTAGTTGGCATAAATCCACACAGTGAACTGTTCTTGGCACCGTATGATATTTACCAATTATGAATGTCCCCAGAGCTCTGTTGATTACTGTAACTACATTTTGATGCAAAGTCAATTAGTAGCAAAAGCACAATCCAGCACTTATGCTCAAACATTAATTTACCCATCTATTAAGATATTTTTTTTTGAACATTCTATATATATATAGATGCAATTTAATCAGCTGTTTTCATTGATTGTCAAGTTAATTAAGGCCTGAACTTTTACTATGCCTCTCAGAGAGCTAAATATGCTTTGATATGATCCATTCCCTTAGCCTTCTGCTGTGGTGTTGGAAGGCGATCTTCCAACCAAAAATAAGTCCTATTTTTTTAGCTTTTATTAGAATATTTTCCATGACATGTTGTTCAGCTTGTTCTGCCACCAATACTTCTGGCTAGCTTTAATTGGAATGCCTTAGAGCGGTAACTCCCAACATGGGGAACTTGTACTCCTAGTGGCCCGGGAGTATATTGCAAGAGTTACATGAAAATATTTTATTAGGTAGTAAAATAAAATAGGGCTAGGATCTTTTTTGCTTTCTGAGGACCTAATTGAAAAATTAAGCAAGCTTTTTTTCAACCAAAAAGTAAGAGAAACAGACTGGATGTAGAGAACAGCCTTGGATCAGCTGGCTTTCACACTGATCTATTGGAGCTCATCAAAGCACATCAGGTGATGAAAACAAATAAAACTAATTAAGTCAGTCTGACTATAATTTTTGTTCTGTATTTTGTTCCCAAATTCATTAAGATTTAATGTGATTATAGGAGGTACTCAGAGGAGTTCCAGTTTTATAAATAAAGGTTTAATTTGATTTTATTTTGTATTTATTTTGATTCATTACTAACTTCCAGGCAACATATTTATGTTTTATTTGAAATGGAAAGAATAAAATGCCTAAGAATTAAATGCTCAAATTAAAAGATTTAGTAAAATAGTTTTTATTTTATAATCAGTTACTGTATGTTACAGAAGAGGATAGGGCCACTGAAAAAATAAAAAAGTTAAGTGATTTTGAAATTTTATTTCAGTATAATATGAGAAAAAAAAGTCCGAATTCTGAGATTAAAGTCTAAATTCTGAGAAAAAAAGTCAGAATTCCGAGATTAAAGTCGGAATTCTGACTTTTTTCCCCATATTAAACTGAAATAAAATTTCAAAATCAGTTATCTTTTTTATTTTTTCAGTGGCCCTAATCCTCCGTATGTTCCTACTGCATGTTGCATTCACAAATAGCTTCGCACTGTGGTGAAAAAAGAACTACAAATCCTAGAATGCAGTGTACCTGGTACCCTGTTGCCATGGTTTCCAAACGAAGCCAGTTCACCTGGAGATAAGCTAAGTTGCTAGCTAGAAAGGAAAAAAAAAAAAAAAATAGGTTCTTTGTTTTCAGCAAAATAAACTGAGCACTCAATGGAGAACAGATTAGAGAACCGAATTTCACCTACGCCGTCGGTCATACCTATTAATGGTTCATTGAACGCAGCACAGGCTGTAAATGACGAGGAGCTAAAAGAAAGCAACGAAATTAAGGTATAAAAGTCTACTTTAGATTTACTTGTATGATTATTGGATATATTTTGATTTTATTTTAGTACATATTGTTTTGTTTTCATAACATTAGCCAAGCTTATATATGAATTAAACGCAAAGACCTTGTTATGTTATTTATATTCACTCTGCAACTAAACTTAAGAAAAGTGAATAATCTTGGTTCAAACTGAATATTTAGGAAAACTCAAGTATTTCTCTTTTTAACCTTGACCTTATGACGTAATTATTACAATATCTGAAACTGTCTTAATATTAAACAAACATAAAAAAATTTGTACATAAAAAAGCAAGTTTAAATCTTAAAAAATAATAATTAAACCAAGAAATGTGCCTATTAAGAAACATCTTAAATCATAATACCAGTGGTAATTTTAGATTAAATTTTTTTGAAGGGGAATCAGTTTTTGTTTGTTTGTTTTTTTCTCATGGGGAAACAAAAACAAAAGAATAACACACACCCCAAAAAACAAACAAACAGGGAAGCACTGCATCATTTCGTTTATGAAGTGAGCAACAAAGCCCAGGTTGCAGACCCCTGATCTAACTCATAAAAACTGATCTGATTTTAATACGACCAAAGCTTAAAGCTGACTGCAGTTTCTAAATAGATCTTAAAATTTACTGTAAAGGACACATTTTCAATTGGTCTAAGGGTCAAATCAGTTTGTCTTCTCCATCAGTGCATACAGTAATCATCATGAGAAACTTATTCAGTATTACGTTGCAAAAAATATTCAAAAAGTATAATTTCCTAAATAAATGTATTTGCCCTTAATTTGAGCAGGTAAATAAAATTATCTGCTAAAGGAATGAGTATTTATGCCCCCAAAAATAAGATGATTAGATTTTAAAACTCCATTTACTCATTTGAAATAAGTTGGTGAAGTTTTTTTTTCTTATTATTTTAAATATAAATTATCTTAAACCATTGGCAAATTGTCTAAATTACTAATTAAAATCAAGCAAAAAATAAAGTTATTTTAGTCAACTTACCCATATCTTAATTTTTCCATTGCATGCTTTCAATACAGGGGCACTAACAGGGGCCAGGACCAGTTCTGCAGGGCAACTGGTCCCTTTTGGCCCTCTTTCTAGAATTGCCAATAAAAAATACTAAGGTAGTAATCGTAATTTTGAACAAATATAAGAATAATGCTCTTCAATAAATATTCCAGTAATGATAATTTAAACTGTATATATTTATTGTCAATATATGTTTATATACTTTTTTTTTATATAAAAAGAACATCCACTTTGATCAACATGAGTAAATTAAGGCATGGTGTAAACACAAACACATATGACAGGTTGATGGTAGAGAGAAGGACAGGTGACAGGCAATAGAAGGAAAGACTTCCATTACTGCCTTCAAACACATCTCTAATATTTTTTAAGAACTTCTCTTTCAGGAATCACTGCAAGGCTTTAAGCAGGACTTTCTATTTGAGCCATTATTACATGTTGTAGTTCTTTTTACCTCTGTGGAATCTATTATTTAACTTCAGTAATAACTTTTAATGTAAATCTTCCAAGTGTCTAACTAATATGAAGCCTAACTACATGACTATTCCTCTCAATGTTTGTCGATCTTACTATAGGATGGTGTTTTAACAGAAGAGATGGTTTCAGAAGGTCTATCCCATTTTGGAAGAGATGTGACTGGGCAGCAGCATGTTCCATGCAGCCTATCCCTACCTGTGAGACATCAATTCGTTGACATTATTTTTTCATTTTTGATGTACATGATGTCTTGGAGTAAAGTATTATTTCCCCTTCTCTTCTTGCTGCTTTCTATATGTTTATTTTTTATGTGTTTTTTATATCATGCAGGTCTTCATTTGTTTGCCTAACTTTAAATTGATCTTTCATTTATATCAAATTAAAACATATATTATTGGGCTCTGTTTTTTTTTTTAAATGCTACATTCATATTTGCAAATAACTAAGAAAAAATGCTAATGTTTTAGAGGGAAAAATAGTAAAAACAACAATGCTAAAAATAAAATGTGAGGGATAGCAGCTTGGCCCTATTGAAGAAAATGATCCCCATAGCATAATGCTGCCTCCCCCATGTTTCACCACCTGGGTGAGTGGTCCTCGATCACATACAGCACAATATTAGTTTTTCCAAGCAGAAATATTTTCAGTTTCTTTGTTCTTACTTTTTAACCATTAACACAGATTTTTGCAGAGCACAAGTAATTGTCATCCTGTCACCAAAATTCTGGCTGTATAAACATTTAAAGCAAATGTGTTGTGAAATTTGATGTGTGCCAAGATATTAATAATGATCAGTGTTTGTTTTTTTCAAAGGTTGAAATTGTATTTTATAGCCATAACTGTTTTGGAACAGCTCATCATGTTCATTCATTTGTTTTGTGGCCTTTATACAGATCATTACATACAGGTTGACTTATTTTTTCTTTTACCACATTTTCCAGATTGTAAGTTGCAAACAGCCTATAAAAACAATGAAATATTTTCATTCCAATTCGCAATTAGGTTTAAATAGTTTTGATCTATAAAATCCCTAAAGGATGCAAAGATTTTGTTTTTTAATTTAAGCAGAATGAATACTTTTTCAAAGCAGAAACTACCAATAGTTTTCCATCTTTAATTGGAGTTGTTGGTAGGCAGTGGCACCATGCTTGTTAATTTGGAAGTTTATTGTTTAAACCTTGATATTGAATGATTATCCATAAGTGTGTTATTTTCTCCTGTAGAGTCTTGATCTCAGAGACATATCTGTGTTATGCAACTATGTCCATCTTCAAAAGTTAGAGCTGCCACACAACAGCATAAAAGGTAACATCTGTAATGTTTTCATATCCTTCTGTTAAGCAGTACATCGAGTATTAAGTCTACAATCCTGTAACATTTCCTACTGGAACAATTTATTGATGTAATATCTAAATGACTCGCACTAATTTGAAGAAATTCTCTGATAACTTCTAGATATATCCTGTTTGACCTACATGCCCCACCTTGTCATCTTGGATGTGTCTTACAATGAAATCTCCAACTTCTTTGAATTCCAGCCCCTCCGGTACCTGCAGGTACAGGACCTTGAGCTGACAGGATAAGACAACCATTGATTGGTGGCTTGGGCCTCGTTTTCTAGGACTATTCCCTTATGATAGGCCAGGATTACCATAGCCCATCTGTAGTCTCTCAGAATTTAGCTTACAAGGCATTAACTGTCCTTCAGTGGCAGTTGACTTTAGCAAAAATATTCTTCACACGCTGCTCTATCATTTCAGAATTTCCTGAGTATGTTGTACTTTCAGAGTTTTGGTAATGTTTGTTTGAAGTCGGCTGTTTCCTTCTTTCTGCCAGGTGGCCAATTTCTCCCATAACCACATCACAGACATTAAGGATCTGGCAGGTTTTTTGTGCCTACGTAAGCTGAATCTCGACTGTATCCTTGCCTTCATTTACTTTGATGAATGTGGACCTTTACTGCATGGTTAGATCTCAGGTTGTTGAATTTCCTTGGCAAACTTTCATTTTAAGCTTTTTCATCAAAGAAAAGACAAATTGAGAGATATAAACAAGGTGATATACTGTTTACCTGCACTGATAGCCTGCATAAAGATTATATTCTAATTAAAAACAAATAAATTATTTGATAGACTGATAAAAAATACATGTATCCTTATGAATCAATATAAACTCATGTTTTATTTGGTATTGAGATAAAAATAAAACATCTTCGAGTGATGAAACACATGTGAAACCTGCGTGAAAGTTTGCATTCTGTTACAAATTTACTTTAATTTACTATTTTAGAAAAGAATCTTGAATCTGAAATGCTGGGGAGGAAGCATGATGTTCTGGGGCTGCTTTAGCTTTAATGACCTGGAGTTTTACAGGAAGTGAAATGTGGCTTCTAGCAGCAAATCCTGCAGGAGAATGTCCGAGCAAGTTCTGTAGCAATCTAATCACCCAAAGTAAAGCAGCAAGTCGGCCTGTAAATAGAGACAAAAATTAACAACTGAAGAAAAGTAGCTGTTGCCTTGCCAATGTCCTGAATTAAATCCAGTTTAGGTACAGTGGAATGACCTTTAGCACGCCGTTCGTGTTTGAACACCCCCCCAATTCTGCTAAGTTTTTTGTTTTATTAAAATATTTTGTCTGATTCACATAAATATTAAAGTATGATAAGATAGGAACAACTGGTAAGGGAATAAAAAAATACTCTGTTGCTATTGCTGATTGACATCCTTTCTTAAAGCACAAGCAGTCATTATCTGTCCCTCCCTCTATCGGATTTATCCATAACAAGTTCATGTTTATCCGTAATGTGTTTTTCTTAATAATCATATCCTCAGACAACTGCCTCTCTGAAATCAGTGGTATTGAACAATGTGTGATGCTCACCCATCTCAGCCTGGCTTTCAACAAAATCAAAAAAATCAGCAGCCTGGGCAGGCTGCCTCTCACACATCTCTGCCTGGTAAGGAGTTTATTTGCTGTTTATGTGGCATTAAGAAGCTAAAATACAACTGAGGTTTTAAGAGTTTACATTGTTGTTTAGATTTTAGTTTATAAGGATAATTTCTAATCAAACAGAAATGTTTGCCTGCTGTTGCAAATGTTTCTGAATGCTTACATTATACAATACAATGTTGATGTCTCACCTTCTTCTGTTCTTTGCTGTTCCTCATCTGGACTCTCAGGTTTTTGCCACATTTGAAGATTTAACCACATGGTCCTCTTACATCCAAAGATCTCCTTATGGCCACACAACAGGCTTTTTTTCTGTCTGTTTTTTTTTTGTGTATTTTCTATGTGCCATGTGTTTTCTCATCATCAGCATCTATTGGTTTGGCTTCATCTGCCCCCTTCTGGAGCTTCCTTTTGGGAGCAGCTGCTGGTCTCTGCCTGAACCTGGACCAAATTCAGCCTGCACACCTGCCCTTATCCATCCAGCATACATTTAATCCTGTTTCTGACCCCCTCCTCTTCCCATGCGCCCTCCTAAAACAGCATGGCATTGTCAGCCAGCCTGTTTCCCAGCACATCACAGTGCCGACCAAGAGCTTCCAGGGACCGCATGGTCAACCCCCCCTGCTGACAGCAACCCTCTGTCTGGCAGGATACTTGGCAAGAGCAGGCCACGGTGTGGCCAGACAGTTAGATAACAACTTTTGTCAGTGGACTGGACAGAGAATCAGGCTGACAAGACTATTGTGCCCAGGTCTTGTGCTTGGGTTGGTTGGCGTGCTGTGCTAGCCCCTCAACAGCTGTTTAGCTGTCAGTCCTTCCTTGTCAGACTGTTGCAGAGAGCCAGATCTGCCACTCAGCTCAGTAATGAGGGTACAGGCACTGTGTAGAGAATTCCTAATAACTATTGAGAGTTAAAGGATAAAATGATTTGTTGCACATTAATTAATGTCATACATGTTTCTCCTTTTATTAGAGGGGAAACCAGCTCAGGGCTGTTGACGGATTGGAGAACTTAGATAAGCTGCAGGTTCTTGATTTGTCTATGAATAAAATCACCAGGCTTTCAGGCCTCCAGAACCTCAGCTGTCTGAGCTCCATCAACCTGGAGAAAAACAAGGTACTTTTAGTGACAAAGACACAAAGGCTTTTTGCTTTGCTACTCTTTTCTTTAAGTCAACACAAATGTAAGCTGCTAATATTTGCTGGTTAATAACTTGGGGTATATGCTTATGTACATCCATCATAGGTAGATAAATGGTTGGATATTTTCATGGTCATTTATTCTAATCTATTCTGAATTTATATGTAAATCTGAAATAAAATGTCCAACTTAATGTTATTGCTTTAAGCAACAACATTTAACCCTACTGCAGCTAAAATAATATAATGTACCTTTCTAAGTAAACACAAATCCATCATGGTAATATTAGCTTAGAGTTTGTTTCTGTACATCCAGCCCACAGTCATTTTTACCCTAAAAAAATGAGACTGCACTCTACTAGTTCATGTGCTTTCACTGTTTGTGTTTTTTTTTTTACAAGCAAAAGGTATCACCAATGAGCTACATTTATCTTTTTTAATAAGCATAGAAAAAGTGTATTTTTTAGCCAGCTGACCAATAACACAGCTATATGTAAGTCTGCTTTACTTTGTTCAGCTATGCTTTATGCAGCCAGGAAGAGTAGTCCTAGGAATATCCTTTAACAGATTTTAAAACTAAACCATTAGTGATTTTGAAGAGATAAAAACTAGTTATTGATCTCATTACGAAACATTAAAAAATACTAAATGTGTTTAATTTAAGCAGCGTAGAAATCCATTAAAAGTTGTTACATGTAACATTTATTTTTTGAGTTTATATAACCAAAAAAGTCTATTTTTTCTTCAGATTTTTAACATTTCAGATTTAAAACATGTCATTGGTCTGCCACTGCTGACGAATATCAACCTGCTGGACAACCCTGTGCAGGTAAATAGGATAGGTCTTCACCACCCTTGTTAATTGTTTAATTTATCTTAGTTCCTAGAAAATCACCTTAACCTTGCAGATGAAATGTTATTTATTGATTGATTTTGTTTTTTGTATCTTTCTTTTGTAAATCTGCATAAATTATTAGGAGCAGCCTGACTTCAGACTGAGAGTCATCTCCCTCCAGCAGCAATTGACAATATTAGACCAGGAGCCAGTCAGTGTCAAAGAAAAGGTCTGAGCCTATGTGCATAACTAATGTTAGGTTTTTATGTTAAGTGTTAATGTAGTACAAGTAATATGAGTCTTCACCTCTAGGTGTCTTCAGTGAACATGTTTGACCCTTCTATGGATGTAGTAGCAGCAGAAGATCACAGGACGCACTTAGTTTATCAGATGGGACAGCCACAGGTCCTCTACTATAGGTTTGTACCAACATTCACTCTAATTCTGCTAGAAGTTTTTTTTATTTTTTTTTTATAATCAGTTTATTTAAATGTTACTTTAAAATCAACTGATTACAAAATTTTTGCAAGATAAGATAGCATTTTTATTTAGTTAAAAAGCCAATTTGATTTTATATAACAGACATTTTTTTAAAAGACATACACAGATAGTTATTTTCATAAATGTAGCACCAAATTCTCCGCAGGTATTGTTTTTTATCTACTTTGCTCTACTTAAAAGAATAAGAAAAATTCATGCTAATAAAAATCTTCAGTGATTTCATTACTGTGTTTTAGAGTTTAACTCTTGTGTCTTGTAACAGGAATCATGTTAAATTATGCATGTTAGATGGAAGTAAATGTAGAACGTGGAGTTTTGTTCGATTTCATTGCAGTAACTCACCTGCTTCAGAGTCCCCTGACCTAATGCTGGTGCTGACGGGCCCTGAAGGATGTGGTAAAGAAGTGCTGGTTCGCAGACTCTGTCAGGAGTTTGGTGAATACTTTGGTGTTGGGTCAGTCTAATACAGCTGCATGTATATTTAATGATGTATGAAGTAAATCAGCTTAAATATTCCCTTTATATGGCAATCAATCTAGGAGTGTGGTCTTTAAAACCTAAAATATTAATGCTTTTTGCTTACATAGGTCACATCACCTTAAGTCAAGCTTGAATTCTCCAAAACAAGTTAAGGATACACCTTAGCTTGTGGGTCAATTACTTCCAGGTGTCAATCAACCTAACCTTGATGCAGTGGAATAAAAAAAACTCTGTACCTTCCTGCTGGTCTATGCATGCATGCACCAATCCAAATTTTTGAGTAGTAAAACTATGTAGAATAACTTCTCATAAATACCTTGGTTTTCACTTGGATAACAAACTAGACTAGAGACACAACTGTCTAAAAGAAGGGAGAGCAGACTGTGCTTCCTGAGGAAGCTTGGGTCCTTCAGCGTTTGCAGCAATATTCTACATAACTTCTATAAGTCTGTTGAGTCTGTTGTGGAAAAGGTGATCTCTTCCTCAATCCTCTACTGGGGTAACAGTATTACTGTAGCCCTAATGACTTAAAAAAAACTCAAGCTAATTAAGGCCAGATTTGTTCTAGGAACTCCTCTAGAACCTCAGGAGATTATTTCACAAAGAAGAGTTCTTCATAAAGTGAAGAAAAGTATGGACAACAGTTAGCATCCTCTTCAGAAGATTTTTAAACAACAGAGTGACTTCAGTAAGAAGCTTCTCAAGATCTGGTGCAAGACAGACCACTACAGAAGATCCTTCCTGCCCTCAGCTTCAACAATTACCACACCCGATTAAAAAACAACATATGAGTTACTGCAACATTTCATTTTTCTTTGGGATTTGGTGCCCTTACACATTTGGCTTTGAAGTATTTTTGAAATGAATTTAATTTAGCAATAAAATCTGTTTTGCCTAGGAATCAATATCGAGGTTATGTGCAATGGCAGATAACCTCAATGTCAGTGGCAGAAATCAAGCTTGTTATTCCACCTTTAAAAAATAGTGCTTTCCTTCCTTACAGATCTATGTTTTGTTTTTGTTTTTTTGTTGATTTCTTTTATGCTTAAATGTTTTAGATGGCTAAACAAATATGCCATTTTGATTTTAGGCTAAAATAACCCAGGAAGTTCGAAAAATGACGATTTTATTCTTAAATTGAAAACAATATCCAGACCAACCAGACTCAATAGGGAAATACTGATGCTCCCTTTGTTAAATAATAAATCAACTGTTTAAGCACATTTTTTTGGCTAAGTTTTAAGAGGACCTGACAGACCTGTGAAATTAATTACCTTTTAAAATAAGACCTGCCAAACTAAAGTAGCTTAAATATCTTATCAAGCAACATCAAACCCAAAAAACAGATTGGAAAGAAAATTAATAGAGTTCTCTCAGTTAAAGAGGGTCATATAAGCATATTTGGAACAACTTCTAACAGAGGCATTATGAGGCATCTTAGAAAATACCATCATATTAATAAACATGGTAGTAGTATTAAGGTAGCAGCTGAATCTGATGCACGAGGAAATCCAGAAATAGAATGTCCAGCCATCCATGTCTTTCTCTGATATGAAAATGTGTATGTGAGCTGAAACATGTTAATGTGACAGAAAAGGAAAAACAGAAGAAGGGTCTGGGGGAAATATGCTTTCACATCACTGTATTGATAGAATTCAAGTAGCTTACTTGAGAATGAACTTGATATTTCACAGAATCTGTCACACTACACGGAAACCCTACATTGGAGAGGAGAATGGGATTGACTACCATTTTGTCAGTGAAGAGGACTTTCAGAGCTTGGTTCATATGGTGAGTCGATCAGAAATTTTCTCCTGTTTTTGTGACAAACTCAATTTCAAGATTTTTACACTTTTTGACTTCATACATGTACATTGAAAGTGTCATATATCACAAATATATATTCGTTCTTTCCTGCCTGGATTCAATCAAAATACTAGTGATGTTATGTGATGAGCCGACGCTTCAAGCTGCGTGTGTTGAGTATAGTGGAGGGAGCGTTTCCACAAAGCATGTATCGAGGAGCCAAAATCAATGACTTCCAAAGCTTTGCTACCATCAACCGGCATTTAAACCATATGATTTAAACAGCCCCAGTGTTCAGTCAAGATGTAGGAGTTTATAGATGAGTTGCAGTCAGCTGGATAGAGGTTGGATATATTCTAAGAATAGATTGGTTGGAAAAACAATCAATCTGGTTAATTTTGGTTAAATTAAACTATATAAAGATCAAGACTAAACAATATAACTGGCCAATCCATTGGTTTCTTTTGTATTATTAGTATTCAGTAGTTTTACTTTCAGTAATTATACAGGCATCTGCTGTAGAAGTTTGCCTTACTGTCCAAGGTTTAGTGGTTCAAGACCTGATTTTCTCTTTTGAAAGCAAAATACAAAATACAACCAGTATTTTGGTCAAAGTGACCAATTTCTATCGGTTTGCCCTTTTACAGATATCGATTGGGTAAAAACACCACCAAATTGGATTGGTTGTTTTAACCAAAAGATTTGTGGGAAACATAACTTCCAACCAGATCAAAACCAAAAACTTAGGAAAAACTATTATCTTTTTTAATAAAAATGAGTAACAACTTTAATTTTGCTCATCATTGCCCAAGCTGTAAAAGCACTTTCACTGTCTGCTTGAGCTTATGCCACTAAAATGAAAGAAAAACAGTATACCTTAATAAATTGTTCTTTTCTAAGAAATTTTACACACAAAAAATGTACAAAATATTTTATTATACACACCAATCATGTACAATTTCAAAGGAACTTAATAAAAAAAAAAAAAAACAAACAAGGAAAACAATTGCAAACATCACAGATTATGTTGCTAACTATAGTTATAAAGTCTGCCAGTAGGCGGTGACATGTTCACATGAAGCTTCATGAAATGTGGAGTTCGTTGAAGCAATTTCCCAAAACGGTTCAATTCCACATGAGGCTTCATTCCACAATCATCACAAAATACACATTTAGGTTTTTTATTAACTGTATTTTTATGTACTTTATTAAACTCACATAATTCACTTTTTCAAATGAGCTGTGAGGTCAGCTTGTATTGCCTGACATGTGGCAGTGGTTTGCCATCGCTCCATCTGTAACTTTTCTCCACACATAATCTGGATTTACAGCTGGTGGAAGAGGCCAATTGTGTCCTTGGATCATGGACACATTTGTTTTCTATCTGCACTCTCTTGTCAAGTCAGCTGTTATGTAAGGTCGATGGAGGATAATTTATAGATCACTGGGTGTCAGTGATTTACACAGGAATGGCTTTGAAGCAGGTATTGATGCCTTTTGTCTACTTCAGCACCGGAAAACTTAACAATCTACCCCTCCCCTGTTTGATTCCCTACTTTACTTTTATTCCTCCATTCTTGTCTTGCCAGCCTTTTGGTTCAGTGCTGTCATGTTTGAAATTTCTTAATCTTCAGATTCTTTCTTTTTCTCATTTTTATGGAGCAAACATGGATGATGTTCTGGTCTGATGGTTTTACCACATGCAAAACACTGTTTAGTTTTTTTAATATTTAATCTGAAATTAGAGTTCACCTAATAGAAACAATTTGTCCAGTTTGTACCACTACCATTTAATTTATTTGAAGTAGAAGCATGGTTATATCCAAACATTGATAAAATACCTGTATATACCTGTATAAACTCTTTCATTTCTTAAACTTGAATTGTGTCTGAGCTCAGCTGCTTGGCTGAGTTTCTCTCCTAGATTAAGCCACTAATGTAAGTAATACTTCCATCCTTTTTTATTTCTCTTTTCTTACAAAGCCCTCCTGGATCAGTGCTTTTGTGTTTTTTTTGCCTCTATGATCTTCTCTTTAACTAGTTTGCCAGTGCTGGCAGATTTTTACCAATTTTAAAGACTAGACTAAACTTGTCTGCGTTGTTTAATAACGTAGATCAAGAAAATGTGTGTTATTTACTGGGAGTATGGGTGTGTGACTGGATTAGATTGTCTGTTCTTTGTGAAGTGCCTTGAGATGCCATGTGTTGTAAATTGCTCCTATGATTAGAAAAAGGAGTTAAAAGAGGTCTTTGTGGAGCAGTTTGTAAGATGCCAAAAAAAAGTTTCCATAACCCCCCAAAATGTAATCGAGAGACCCACACAGCAAAAAATAAATGATTTTTTATGTTAACACTAAATTAAATTGTTTTCTTTTCCAGATATTAGGCAAAAAATGGGGTCACAAAACTTAATATTTATCTTATCATATTTATATTTAAGTAAAGTAGTTAAATGGTCTTTCTCTTCACTCAACCAAACTGACATTTTGTGGCTTTAATAAAAAGGCTAAAATGACCTTCCTAAGCTCACAGTTGTTTGATGCTTCCTGAAGGTGAGGAATTTTGCAGCCCTACTAAAAAAGCCACCATAAAAGTCAAAAGGTTACTACCTAAGAGACAAAACAAAGAGGTTTTTGCCCCTACTACCAGGTCAAAAGTTCATTTTCCAGGTGGGCAAATAGCTTCAGGTTGTTAAGCCTGACCTAACATGCTGGGGATGTCTGTATTTATGTTTACTCTTTTATGCTAGATTTTTTCCGTATGATAAAACTTAAGTTATATGAAAGTGTTTATGTACTTAAAATTAGGGCTGTGCATTCATCCAAATTTTAAGAATTGAATCGATTCCTATTCTTAAGTTTTAGAATCCATTCAATCTTATCCGGTGGGATCTTAAATTTGATTCCTCGTGTTAAAAATATTTTTTTGGCCGTTATCTGAATCATATGAATGTGTAGTTATGCATTATATTTATACTAGTATTATATTAAAGGTATAGTGAAGGATTTTCTTTTTCCAGGTGGATCATCAAAATAAGTGGTCCTCCTAATTGTCAATCATTCTGGTAATATGTGCTCGTCCCCATTTTCACTTACTGGTGGTGAAAAAGTTGCAAATCTTCTTTTGAAAGTAAGATTGTATCAGACAAACTTTCAAACAGAGCGTGCAGAAGGAGAAATGGGCTTGTGCACGCTCTTTGAACGTGTTTTAATGGCCATTACCTCTCGGGAGCGGGTCTAGGGTTGTGCATGTGTATTTTTCTTAAAAATGGTAAGGGTGGGCCTTTAACATTCAGTCGAGAATGAATGAAGTCACTGGCAGCTGAAAGGACAGTGGAAAATCCATTTTCTGAAAATCTGTCTTAAAGAATTAATATGAAAAATTAATATGAAATTGATACAGAATTGGAAAACATATATTTTTAACACAGCTATACTTAAAATTGTCGTTTTTCTTCCTCTCTGTTTTCTTACACAAGGGTAAGTTTATCCAAACTATGCAGTATAACGGTCATATGTTTGGCCTCACAAGAGAAGCTATTGAGGAAGTAGTGGAAGATGGACTGGTTTGCTGTGTACACATGGAGCTGGAGGTACCTGTGTGAAACTTATATATAAAGCTAAAATTATGTTTTATGTATTCTGCATTTACTAATAAAAGAGTAACTCAAAATTGTAAGAGACTCATTTTTTTTCAGGGTGTTTTAAGTCTAAAGAAGACCTACTTTGAGCCTCGATACATCCTGCTCATACCCACCCAGATGGAGAAATTCATAAGCCACTTGAAAAGCCTCAAACTCCACCCCCCAGCACAGATTGATTTTGCATTAAAACGTGTGGCTCTGTACATAAACACCAGTGAACAACGTCCAGGATTCTTCAATAACATCATCCCATGTGGTAAAAAGGACATTTTTTGATTGAAGTTTTAATTTCATAAATTATTATCATTGCATTTTATTTGTTCCCTGTTTTCCTTTTATTGTAAACAAAGCATATTTTCATAATCTTTAATATCTTTTCAATCCACATTTAACTGCAGGATCAGTGTGTTTAACTTTCCTCTTGATAGCACTTTGACTATTAGCTGTTTTCTTAATGAGATGAACAAACAGCGAGCAGGAAACATTCATCACTTTTATGCACTGCTTGCAAGCTCCTCATTACACCAAGGTCAAAATCTCCATATCTTTGATTCATTGCTCTTTGAGGTTGGATACGCTGGCTGTGTTGAGGACCAGGCTTCCTCATGTGTGTTTATTTATGTCTGTATTTATTAAGATGATTGGGAAGAAGCTTACCAGACCTTGCAGCAAGTGGTGAAGGACTACCTGTTAGCTGAAAAGGAAGAGGAGGAAGGAAAGACCAACAGTGGATTCTTCTCTGTCAGCAGCAGTACAGGTGTTACTCCTTTTACTTTTTCATATCTCATTCATTTAACAATTTTTGTAATATTGTCTCTCATAATATCTAGAGTTTGACATCATAGGTCAATTGCATTAAATAGGCACAATACTGACACTGCTTTTTTAAATTTAAATCTGTTATTTTTAACATGACAGTTGTCAAATAAAGTCTTTAGTGTCATGGGTTAGTGAAAATACTACACTTAACCCCACAATGTTTTAAGAATGGTTAGAAGGAACCCATTTTTGTCTGCTGTGTCCACAAACTCTCACTGAGTGCCTGCAGCAGATCCCTGTTCAGAAGAACTGACATTAGGTTTAAATTGGAGGATTTTTTTTTTTTTTTACCACACGAAGTTTCAGGAAATTGTTTCATGAAAGTGAAGGGTAAATTTATATGTCAACACTTTGTTGTGTTTTGTTTTTAAAGTGTGGTCTGTATGAGGGGTCCTCAGAAAATTACAACAAAAAAAAAGATGCAGAAACAAGATCAAAAAGAAGGAAAAAAGATTCCAAAAAAGGAATCCAATTCTTTTTAACATAAAATGTAAGAAATTATTTTTTCTTAATTCTTATATAATATGACTTATAAAAATATATTATATTAAGAAAAAAAAGTCAGAGCTGAAGTGTCTTGGATGACAGGGCCATAAAATGCCTTTTTTTCCTTTTGCAACAACCTACTTGTGTAAATCTGGCTTTTCATCTCCCTCTAATATCCGTTTTAACCATCCATGGTCTACAGGTGGTTAATGACATACGTATGGTACCGACAGACATTAAGCTCAGCCCTACGGCAGACACTTGAACGAGGTTTGCTTTACTCTGCTCTGTTCCTTTTTAAAGGCGTGTTATTAAATCCAAATATAGTACAGTTTTGGAAAAATGCTAATATTCATATACTAAAGTAATGACAACCTCCCCGAATAGATATAAAAGCAAGAAAAACTTTCTTAAAGTTGATTTTTTTTGTGCTATTGTTTGTTAGTTTGCAAAGGAGGTCCCTGACCAGAAGCCAATGCTTGTAAGGGGTCCATAAAGAAATTGCTGAACTCCTGTCTTCTTAAAGGTATAGCAGAGGATTTTCTTTTTCGGGTGGATCATCTAAATAAGTGGTCCTCC